TCCTGGAGGAAGCTGCATGGGTGAATTGGAGGCTTCAAATCTATTTGGTGCTTGGAAACATGGCAAAACATTCCCTCATTTCTTTGCAAGATTAGTTAAGCAGAAGGAGATGCCAAAGCTACTTGGGACGGTTGCTGATACCCCAACATCTCTCCTATACACACCGTTTAAGTCTCACTTTCAGTTTGTCACAGTATGAAGGCAGCACTGTGCTGCAGAGCAGCTGTGGACCACTCATGGTAGCCCCACCAAACACCAGTCATGGGCAGACCTTGGTTCAGGAGCATTAGTTCTTTGATGATACAAAAAGGCAAGAGAAAGGATCTGTTGGAGGGCAAGACACAGCAAAGAAAGAGTTGAGTTCCAAGCCCAAGAAGTAGCAACAGATACTTTTCTCTTTTTTACTTCTCAGTGAAAGCTCTGAAGAGACAGACAGTTCTCAGGAAACCACTTTCACAGATAATAGTTGAGGAACAGGCATGTACCCAAGAACTAAAAAAAGGAGATGGGCAAAAAATAAAAGTGAGAAGATGAAACTGTCAAGCAAGAATAGAGGAACAGGTCACCTTGGTATTGATGATACTTTGGTCAGTGAATGTGGCAATATTGATTCCCATAAAACTGAGGAAACAGCACTTTTATGCTGTTTCTGATGATCCGATGGAAGCTAAAGGGGAAGACATGGTGACTTACAGCATCATGGCTGTTATTGCATATGGGGAGAAAACTGGAAATGAGGATTTCCTTGCTTCACGTAACAAGAAAATCTTCAAAAGGAATATAAAAGGAAAGAGCTTTGGCCATTTCCTCTTCCATTTCTTACACATTTGGCAGCCAGACTACTGCAGTCTACCTCTATGTTTTACACTTCGTATTAGAAACCAAAAGGATCAAAAGCAATTAACATTTTAAAAACAGCTACTCTTTGGGCTGGTTGGAAGGGTCATGCAGTAGCTTCAGTCAGATCAAAGGGCACACAGACAGTATATGTCTGAAAATCACTTGTAAATTTTGAGACAAAAAGGGAACACACCCTCGATATCAAGGAAAGATGGGGAATAAGGGGCTTAAATTGCAAATAAAGATTTTATTAAGTGAGAATAGAACTTTCTGACTGGAGTTACCCTAAAATGAGCTGTACAATTTCTTAGGTAAGTGCAAAATCTCCAACATTAGCTATTTTCAAAAGCAGGCAAGAAAAGCATTGCTATGGAATAATTTAAGTACAGCTGATTCTGCTTTGCTTTAGAAAAATGGGCCAGATGACCACTTGTGCTCCCTCTTTTCTGCAATTTCTGTGACAGAGAGAAAAAAAGAAAGGTAAGTAAGTTCAAGTTTATATACTACACCCTGAAGCTAGAAACAAATCAGGTCTGCAGAGTTTAAACCATTGCATTCACATAAGAATTTAGTGACTTCTGACTGGTTTTGTTTGCCAACAAACAAACAGCTTAGCAAACAGTTCTTCACAAATGGAAGTGCCTCTTCCAATAAAGACTCAGATGTTGGAGTCTGTCATAAGACTTTAATGGGTTCAGTGTGCTACATTTGAGCATAACATATGAGGGGCCAAAGTTTTAAACTACTGGACAGTGATTTTCTTTCAAGAGCCTGAGGTTTCTAGAGCTACATCATCACACTTGCAGGCAGGCGGAATACACATGACATGTCTTTCATGAATGCATTCCAATTCCCCATTCAGTTCTTCAGAGCCATTGTTTCAGTTACAGCAGAGCATGTGGTGGGTCTAGAATTGTCAAATTGCCTTCTTGGGAGTTATCTTCCAATTTATGGCAACTCCTCCTTTGCAATAACTTTAATCACTAGTTACTCCTCCAAAGGTCCTAAAGCATTTACTACTTGAACTTCTGGTGTAACCATGTAGTCAGCTAACAGAAAGCTGAACATCTAGTAGCACACCAGTTGGAATTTCAAAAGCTACTTCAGCTCCCAGGAGCGGGCCTTACTGAATTCAGATGTGTTGTGACAACTCTCAGTCTGTGCAGCTAAAGGTGTTAGGTTATGATGGGGAGGTATGAGTGGTAACCAGTGTTTCAAATTGGGTTGGCAGTTTTAGTTCAAGCTTTCAGAGGAATCCAGGGACACAAACTCAGTGTTTTCATCCAAGTCAACTTGTCCTCAGGATTGACTGAGCCAGCTTCAGTTACAAACACATCTGCTCAGTTTTCAGTATAAGCAGACGTTGAAACACATCAGTGTTTCATTTACTTTTATGACTAGCATGTAGGCTCCTGAATTGCTCTGATGCTTTTAAAACTCTAAACCAGATCCTTCAGCTGACTGTTGGCAGCAGCCAGCAGATGCTGCAAGCTCAGCACATCTATGCTTCCCAAACAGTGGGGGAAAAGTCATTGAAGAAATGCAGGGCAGAACAGTGTAGTGTAGAACTACTAAAGTCTGTGGGGCATTCTTGCATAAAAATAAGGCTGCCATGGCACACATGCTACTGAAAGTACTGCATTCCAGTTGTCATGAAAAAAATGGAGTGACCAATAATTATTTCTGGTTGTTCAAATCCTGTCTCTTTTTGAGAAATGGCTTGGTCCAGCCCAGTATGAACAATCACCTTCTTCCTCTCATTAGCACTCTAAGCTCATGATTTCATCCTTTCTTTAATTTAGGCTATTTTGTAATGTCACTAACATATCAAGACATCGCTACACTTATCTCACTCATTTCCACAGTGTAAAGGAATCTACAAATTTTGTGGAATCCTACAAGGAAAAAAGAACATTACTGACATTACCAAGTCTAACATGAAAAATACCAGAAGTCTACTGTATCACAGATGAATAGCACTTGTTTTTGTAACTAGGAAAATAACATCAAATGACACAATTGTGGAACTGTCAGATTAAGCACTTCTAATGCAAGACAGCTAGACATGTCCAATAGGATCTGTTTCTCCATCAGTTACTCAGCTTTTTTCATATAAATAGTAAGCAGTCAGGTATACAGATGTGTACACTACCTAGACCACACAACTAAAATTTCTCCTAGATGACAAAGAAATGAAGATAACGGGTGCATCATTACAAAAACAGTTACCATAGATAAAGGCTCACATATCATAGCCATTCCATATTTTTAATATAGCTACCACGCAATAACAAATAATAGGAACTATTTATAAATGCGTTATAAACCCAGTTGACTGCAAGAACACACTAAGAAAACTGCAGGTGCTCAAATCCAATATAAGTAACAAGATAAAACAACTCAGAATGTGTCTGAAATCTCTTTAAGCCAGCACAGTATTACGTACTCGTCACAGAGCCATCCTGTTCACGCCATCAAATAGCAGACTTTTAATTCCTAGACTTCTAAGTCCTGAAATTTAATCTATCCAATAACAAGTTACTCTCTATATAAACAAATATATATATATATATATTTAAAGGGGGAAGGGGGTAATGGAAGGCAACATAATACGAGCTGAATTTGCCCCCAACACCAGAACCTCAGGTATTCAAGTCAAGGTGTGCTTTGTGTGTTTCTACAGATGTCCTGTAGCTGAACACCCGGGAGCAGTACATATGATTTTAAGACCTAAACCTATGATTTACCAGATACAGCAACAATACCAGCAAACGACACCGACAAAGCCTGCAGGAAACAAATGGCATTTGCAGATCTCTGCTCCAACTACTGTCCCAGCTGAGCTTACATAATAAAATCTCCAGATCTGATAAAAAAAATTAAAGAATTTGTGTTTTATCTGAAAACAGACACAATTGATACCCTCAAGAAAGACAATGCATCACAACTTCGGTATTGAAAAGTCCAGTACTTTATGACCTTGTAATCTAGGCAGGAGCATTGGAAAGAGAAAGTCCATCACCTGACTGTAACAGTCTCAACAATTAGATTCATAAATAACGGTATGACTACATAGGAGTGTTTTTAACATATAAATTGTGATTTTTATTCCCTTAGAGCACCTCAGAGCTCAGCGCACAGCACGGAGGCAGCAAGCGATTTCTGGTCAGGGAGATCTGAAAAACACTGGTCATAAAGTCATCTCTTCTAATTCTGCAGAGCCCTGTGACAGCAACACACAACAACAACGACACAGAATGCCGGCTAGAGGGGCACCGAGGCTTCATCAGCCCACAGAAAGGCTGGCAGGCCACTCGCTGGCTGCTTTGAGGCCGAGAACAGCTTCGTAACATAACAACCTTGCTGGTACAGATGCTGCACGCAGTCACATGCGGATGCTTTCCTGCGTGGTTTGATGCCTGTGTCCATGGTCCTGTCTGAGGCACACAGCAGCTGAGCAAGCATTGAAGCGGAACGCTTACAGCTATTGCCTTCCATTAGCAAAGATCTTTCCTCAGAAACTTGGAAAACCCTCCCGACTTCGCTTCTCGCTCGGCTCCTAGAGAGAGCGCTGCAAGAAGAACCGGCACCGAGCTTCCTAAGCAATAAACCCGGTCTGGCTAACCGACGCTTCGGCCAACGCCAGGGCGTTCAGAAGAGATGTCCACAACTCCAGCAATCGCTGCGGAAGGCTGCGGGCCGCCCCAGCCCTTCTCCGCTTCCCACGGCGTGCCACCGGAGGGGCGGCCAGGCCGGGAGAGCGGGGTTTTAACCCGAGATGAGCCGGCGTGGATATTAAAGGAAAGGCAATCCTCTTAGGCGGCGTGTCTGCGGCGGAGAGAGGAGGCGAACCTTTCGTGTAACAGCGGAGGGCTGCAGCCCTGAGCCCGCTCGGCCTGTACCCGCGGGGAGCCCCGATGGACGCGGAGGGGACGCACGGACGGCGGTGCGGGCCGGACCGAGCCGGGCAGCCGCTACCTGGACCCGGTTCGGTGCCCGGGCTCCGAGCGTTGCTGCGGCGCGGTGGGAACAGGGCCGGTTATGTAACCGCGGTTCCGACCGCCCGTTGCAGGGGGACACCGGAGCTGCTCCGCTCCGCTCCGCCCGCCCCTCGCTCAGGCTGCCTCTCCCCGGCACCCCCCTCCCTCCCCGCCCCGCACCTTCTCCTGGGCGCGGTTGAGGCGTTTCTGGACGTTTTTGGCGAAGATGCCCGTCTTCATGTCGGCCATGGCTGGCGGCGGGGGGAGCGGGGTGGGGGAAGGCGGGCGAGGCAGAGCCCGGCGGCGGAGAGCGGCGGAGAGCGGGGATGGATGGAGGGAGGGAGGGCGAGGAAGAGGAGGAGGAGGAGGAGGAGGGCCTTAAAGACGGGGCCGGGAGAGGCGGGGCTGCCGGCGCCTCAGGTGAGCGCTGGCCCCGGGAGGCGGCCGTTGGCCCCTCGGGACGGGCGGCATCCCGTCGTTGGGGTTTTTCCGCAACGTAACAAAAAATACAGAAAGGAAAGGTCCGAGGACACGCAGCGGTTTTCAGAAGCCGACCGGTGCCGCCCTGCTGGGGGACTGCCGGCCTCCAAGCATTCCAGCATCCGTCTGGGGGACGAGAGGAAATGGTTTCAAACTAACAGGGGAGATTTAGACTGGATATACAGGGATGTATATATATGATAAAGGTGGTGAGGCACTAGAACGGGTTGCCACAGAGATGTGGTGGATGCCCTGGAGATACTCATGGTCAGGCTGGAGGGGGCTGTGAGCAACCTGAGCTGGCTGTAAGTGTCCCTGCCCATGGAAAGGGAGTTGAACTAGATGGCCTTCCAACTCAAATGGTTCTATGATTCTATGATAGTGGGGTGACCCACACCCAGGGCTGGGCCACACGCAGATGAAAACAGCTCAAAATCAGCCTTACTTGCTACTGTGGTGCCAAATTCCCTGCTGGCATTTATTGCTGTTGTCTGGCCAGGCACGGGAGTTCCCTGAACCAGAGAGCAGAATGCAGTGACAAACACTGCAAATCAAAACACTGAGGAGCTCCAGGCTCCGAGTCTGTGCCTGTTTTCTTCTGTAGAGCTGTTCTATATTTGCAATACTTCCCATTGATTTTTCAGATAGGTGCAAAACACAAGCCAGGAGGTCATTCCCTGTGCCCACCAAAAGACAACATCTCCTATAGCCAGAAAGTCAAACTATATTTAATGAAACCTTGTCCTTCTGACTCTGGTCCAGTCACAGACCTGCATCACACATTTTCCTGCAATATTAGGAAGGAGAATTAACATACCAACTGCAGCAGTAAAAACATTTAGTACAAACTTGTGACCCAAGGTACTTCATTCTTATGTAAGAAACTTTTAAAAACAAAAAACATTCACAAAACAAAAGCAGAAATGCAAGGAAAACACATCATTGCAACCAAGGAAAACTTTTTTTTTTTTTTTTTCCTAAAAAGTCTCTTACAACATTGTTAGACTGGTGAAAGATCAGAACAAAATCCCAGCATACCTGTGGCTCTCCAGTTCTTTGTAGTAATGTTTGACATTTTCTTTAGTGTTTGTCTTTCTGGCCGGTATAAACTCCAAAAGGATCATACCACTTTAATGCTAAAAAGCCCTTCAGAAGAAGTGCCCTAACTTTGTGTACTCATGCATTTTCCTCAACAAAAGATGGTTAACATGATACATATCACCAGCAGAGTATATCTGGTTGTGGGGCTGCATGCAGGCTACTGGGGGAATAAAGACATTCTCCCATGCCTTTTAGTCCCCAGATGTCTGATCTAGCAATAGTAGATCCCACAGTGCCAAGCCCAAAAATGCTTTTTCATGCTGGCAAACGAGGAGCATGGAGATATCAGCTGTACTCTGTCATAGATCCAGTCTTTTCCTACTTAGTCAGTCGACCTGCACTGGCTTTGCCCATTTAATGGGTTTGGACAAAAGCCAGGAATGGCTTTTTCACTGCTGTGTTTATGAATGTGCGTGGTGCTCTAGATTTTGGAAAGCAATTATCTGCAGATGATCAGGCTGATAGATCCGTATTCCCTGTGCTAGCAAAATCTCTGCCTGCCATGTATGATGTTTATCATAAATCTCTCTTAAGAGAAAACTTCCTGTTAAGATATGTGCGAAAGCATTTTTTTTTCCTCTGTGTTACTTATAGCTCAGTCTGAAAGAGATAATGTTTAAAAATGAGAATCACTTCCTACAACACACCCTGCTTGTTTTTTTTCCTTATAGTTGTTACAGTACTGTTTATTATTGGTGTTACTTGAAAATGAGATCTGTTGTTTCAGTTTCGCCCTTGAATAGCAAAGATGATAATCATTCACAGGAAAGTGGGGTGGCTATTTTTAAACAGAAAATTTCTGAGGTGAATGGAGGAGATGCATGTTTTGCATCTCTTTTGCCAGGTGACAACCCCACTTCATGTTAGGGGAAAAAAACCCATGTCTTCACCTCTCCTGGCTCATCCACAATGGTTTTAATTGGTTTTAATTACGTCTATTTTTCTGAGCGCTCTTTGTTCATCTAAAACAATAAAATGAGAAGATGCTGGTCCATAGCAGTCAATTCTACGGTGTCACTAAGAGAAAAAAGTTGGCAAGTGTCTTGCAACCATCTCCATTGGAATGATAATTACAGTATAAGTATCAATAGCTTTGGAATAACAGAGCTGTTCCTCAGATATTGTAGGTAAAAGACATCACCATCATAAGCAAATCACTTAACAGGTCAGAGCAGTGGGGAAATAATGAAGATTTTCCAGCTAAAAGTACAGGACAGCCTGAGAGCCAAAATCATTCTGTAATTGGGGATTTCAGAGAGCAGAAGTCCTGTACCCAAGTTCATCACCAGTCAGGACATACAGATTAGAATTCATGGGAAAGCAACGTGAGAAATTCAATGACTTAAAATGTGGTGGGCCTGCATTTAAAACATTTTTTTTACAAACAGCATCTCCTTTATAGTATGCCAGCAGCATAATCAGGATACAATGGGCAGAAGAAGACCCACAAAGTCATCAGGGCAGTTTCTGTATGTCTTACTGCTCTTGGGATGTGGATCACAGTGAGGAGAATTGTCTGACAGAATCATAAGAACAGGAAGGAAAGGAACACTGTCAAAAGAAAAGACAAATGCCATGCCAAACTCTAAAAATCCATGGGAAGATTTTAATAAAAGTATGAATTTTAAAAAAAATAGATATGTTCTACATTTAATGACTTAACCATTTGCTTTTAATTACAGTTGTTATCATTCAAGCTAAATGCAAGGTGGTTTTTTCCCCCCGCATTTTTTTTCACTGCCATAACTTCAGATTAACACTTGTCTCTGAGCCATTAGCATGCTAACATGCATTGAACCTGCACTTGCATTTTGGCACAGAACAGCAGTTCATCACTCGAAAGCATTTATCTGAGAGGTGCAAAAGTGCCCTTTGGCTTCAGCTAGATTGAATCTACCTCACTTCACAGAGCTACACACAGGTAGGCTGTGCCTGGCAATCACCTCACTTTGTTCCCCTGGAGCAAAGTCCAATCCTGACCCTAATTTCTGTCAGCAAACAGCTGGGTGCCTCCTCAGCCTTCCAAACCTCTGCACATGATCTGGACAACAGCGCTAACGAGGGGCCTGCAGAGATCCCTCTCAAACTGAGCACCTGTAAGATTCCTGCACAGCACCCATGGTACACAGATGCTCATGCTATACTTTAGGATGCGAGCGTTCCTTGCCCCTTCCAAGTCCTCTTCCTGGGAAAAAAAGGTATTAGAGAAATGAGTCTCAAAAAAAGCACTTAATACAGTGATACTGAGTGAATACTGATGCCTTGAGGAGAATCTTTCCAGGTTTGAGACTGCTTTTGGACAAGACATCCAAAATCCTTTTGGTTTAGGAGGTGGGGGGTAGGAATAAGGAATAATCACTCATTTAGTGTTAGGCATTGTTTCTTTGTACACAGTGTCAATAATATACACATTTCAAGAAAAAAGTAGGATGGTGAGAAGGAAAATCCTTGAGATCCATGATGAATTTCTCCATTGCTAGAGCTCCTGGGATCCACAGCTCCCTCCCCTACCCAGGGTTACGGTCAATATGGATTCCATTGGAGAAGGGGCTGCATGACAAAATTGGCTTTATATTTTCTTATTTAGATGGGAAGAGTATCTTGATCAGCTGTAAGTACATTGTCAATTCAAGCATTAGGAACTAATCGTGAGAAAGATATTCATGGTTTAGTAAGCCTTATCCTGGCATGTCAGGTTTTAAATGAAAAATGGAGTCGTACAGAAAAAGGATTTTGGAAAATAGTGAGTACAACTTATGAGCTCCCACACCTAAGCAGAAGAGATTCCAGAACAGAAAGAAAGAAAGAAAGAAAGAAAGAAAGAAAGAAAGAAAGAAAGAAAGAAAGAAAGAAAGAAAGAAGCTGCCAAACTAAGGAGTCTTTAGATGTGTGTGATTTTATTGAAAATACCAACCCCCCATGCCCTAAATTCAGGCTCCCTTAGTCTGTGAGCTCAGCATTCAGAAATCATTCAAAACTGCTTTTGAAAAATCTTGGCATAGATGTGCTTGACACATTTCATCTTCTCATTCATAAGGTCACAGGCCAGAACCAGAAATATCTGCCTTTTAACTGGCAGCTGAAAAGGACAGATAGGCTTTCTGTCAAGACACCCTTCGTATGTCTCCTGAAAGATAAAAACAACCTTTTTGCTTAAATAGTGTGCTCCCCCATTACACAGTTTCCCTTAGACCTCCTGTTCTCTTTTCCATCAAATATATTTAAGATATTCCTTTATCTTTAAAGTGAAAATCTAGAAAAATCACACTTTCATTTGCAGCAGCAATGAATATTGTGAAGTTTAATGTCTCTGTTGTTTAAAATCACTTTCACCACAGATCTTACTTTCTCTGGTGAATCCTTCACTGGTGGGAAGTTCCTCACTTAAACTAGGCACTTGGAAAGGGGACAGCTGCACAACATCAGTTTGATTCCCTAAATGACTCTTTGCTCATGAACTGGAGGATAATTACATCAGGAACACACGATAGGATCACCTATCCATTTTGTATTCCTAGCACTAATGCACATTTACACAGTGCCATCACTTCCACCATTCACACTGTCTAAGGGGAGGAATGGCCTGAAAGATTTATAATCCTAATCCAGAAAAGTTTAAAATTCGATGTGAGGAGAAAGACAACGAAAGAGACGTAACTATTCTGATTGCATCTGCCTTTATTTGAAAAGGCCGTGAAATGTAAGGGACAAGTTCATTTTATTATAAAGATCACAGGACTTTTTTTTTCCTGATGAAAAACACAGGTATGTAAACAACTGTGGGGTAATCGTTCTGGTTCAGCATCTCACACAGTGTTCTGTAAACATCAGAATATTGTTCCTCCTAGTCCCCTGCAGCCACGCTATGGAGGCTGAACATCTTCTCTCAAGCATCAGATCTTGTTTGGACTCTCAGTGATTTCAAGAAAACAGTTAAGGAGGAGATGCCTTTCCATTGCTACTAGGGTGAGACCACGTCCCCCCCAAAAAACCCCACATCTGGGCACAAAGAAGGCACTCTGGCAGTGAAATTCATAGAACACAACAAAAGATTAACCCAAATTTCAGAAAACCATATCCCTTCCCAGGACTCAGTCAAATTCTAGCATCTGTTGCTTTTAACTGTGCAGTCAAATTTCAGGTCGAAGGAAC